ATAGTAGCGGGCAGCAGTCCCCACTTACATACATTTCGCGCCTACCGTATTCAAAAAATACGGCGTGTATTACGTGTATTACTATTACTAACAATTGTATTGCACCCAATTAGATTTACTTTAGAATTGAATTACTTTAAATATAGACAAATTAGATTTGTTGAGCCGCAACCATGATATAGAAACCTTTTATTAGGCTAACGCTTCAGCCTTATCGCCTGCGTCACTGCCTCAAAAAATGACTGGACATGATGCAGACATCGCTAATCCGGGCCCGGAATCAATACAGATTCAATAGCACACGGATGTCTGCTCTTGGTGCTGCGTCTCATGTCACCCACCACTCAAGAACTTTTTCTCTCTGCTACCAGTTAGTTCAATTCCATACTATTTGCATTCAGAGATTGCAAAGCAGTGATCAAATTGGATAAAACGTGTGTTGGAAGGGCTCCAACAAGGATTGCTGTTTTACAAGCTACTCTCGCACGCTGGGCATTGGATAGGGCTAGTATGGGGCTATAGCCTTTCCAAGGAATGGCATGTTTGAACGGTTGTTTTTAGGTATTTGTGAGTATCCCCATTCAAAATCTTGGAGGCATTCGTGTGCATGGCGCACTAACCTATTCACAGCTACCGCTACTGCCCAGTTCCTTTCCCACTTTTGCCACACGAAAAATTAACATTTTCAAGGACATGAAAGAGTTTGATCAACATTGACACGTTTGTTAATTTCTGTGGCAGTTAGGGAACTTCAAATTCGTACCTGCGCTGCTCCACCACACCCACACTGCTGCCAACTTTCGGTGCCTCCGGTTCCACACTAAGACTGATGTCGGTCCTGAAATAATCTTGTCGCTTAAAGAACCACATGAACCACACTGGTTTCAGACTGCTGTTTCGACGCTTTCTAAAAGAACGATATTGATTTTTTGATTAGCAAAATTTAGTGAATGCGTAAGTATTCGGGCACAAAACGGGCGCTTCCCAGTGAATATCAGCAACTTACCAGCTATTAGTAGGCCATAATGCGAAGCTTATTAGTCAACCTTTGACCAAGCACAGCCTAAGGACGGAGGTACAATTCAGAAAACCCCATAAATTTCGCAGCATTTAACAGGATATATCTGCTTTGAAAAGTAGTTCCATTTTACACGGAACGCTTTTCTGGAATACCCATGGGACCCGTGGTCGCAAGATCAATTCTACCTCATGCTTCCCAAAGACGCTGTTTCCAAAAAAGCTTCAGAATTAGTGCACAGTACAAAGTTAGCTTACAGGTGAGTAGATTAGCAAGAAAATTTTACGTGGAACATTTGAAAAGTACAGAACTAGTACGTCAACGTGTCGAACGGCACGTTAAGTCTTTACTTTGGACCTTCAGCACAATTTGTAACCACAATCCAAGCGCGATCCGCAAGGAAGTTCTGTCATGGCATTACCTGCCGGAATTTCTTCTTTCTTATCCTACCGGGAATTACGACCAGGAACAAGCAAAAATGATTTTGAGGGCAATTTCAAGATTTTCAAGGCACAAGGCATAAAGTGGAGAAAGATCTAAGCCAACTAGGTCTGCACAGTAATGTAGCTTGCTGTACATTAACCTTGATCCTACTTTGAATTAATTGAAGGGTATTGTCCAGTAATGATTATACCTGTGGAGGAGGAAACATGGATGATGATCATAAACAGCTGAACAGCTTCACTTCGGTACCGATTTTCTAGCCTACAGGGGGGTTTCTGCATTTCAGAGTAAATCCGGGTTTACTGCAGGCTATCAGTTTCACGAAACTCCTTTTGTGGCAGCAACACTAAAAATTTCAAGGTAAATTAAAATGAGGGCGCTGAGAGTAGGGTGCCTACCGAAGTGGTGCAGTCGCTTCCTCGGCAGGTCGTAAAGGAATAAGAAGTAAGAAAATAGTTATTTTATGAGTTCCTACGAAGCACGCAAGCTACTTTAGCTTGCGGAGGGAGGATGAAAATAAAAAGAAATGACTAAGAGATAGCAAACGAAACTTTCGATGCTTTGATGAACGAAATTTCGAAGGGGAGCAGTTTTCGACGTCGATTCATATAAGCCAGAGTGGAGGGAGGATGGTGGAAGCGCTGCCGAGGTTAATCTCGGCAGATGAATGGCCCACTCCCTACCGCCCATTCTGATCCTACCGGGCCACATAAAGCGTTTCGGGAAATATTTTCACTCTATTTAATCATCAAAGGTTATTGAGATGTTTCGAAACAACCACCCATGAGGTTACTATTATGTGAATTCCATTAATCTAGCAGAAGTTAGCAACAGTGTATAATTTCGAGAAATAACGGAGAACAGTTGGAGCGAAGTGAAAACTGCCACCCATGAAAAAGTCAATGCCCTGCCATTCCGCAGAGGTCGGACAATTGGACAAAAGGATTGTTTTGAGCCGATCTGCTGTATTAAACAAAGGATTTATCGCTTTTTTTTCTTGGCTTCAAAGTCGAAGTTTTATGCGCCTGTGGCACATGCAATAAATAAATAAATAAGAAATAAAAAAGAAATAAAAAAGAAAAAAATCATCAGAAAGTTATTGGTGCTCGCATGAGAAACTGAGAGCTGGTAGCTATTCGTATTGACTTGGCCAGCTTCTGCACATGGTCACTTCTCTCTCCGGCACGCTAATCCCCTTTCCTAAAGTAAGTTAACTCCTATTATTTTCAGTTCTTCTCTGCTCGACAGCACAAGCAAATTCTCGACCTCATGTGAAGTAAACCTGCTGGAAAGTGTCGAGCATCCAGGATCATATGCTATTGTGGAGTTCCAATTTTCAGTGCGGTAAGCTCGATTATGTTCGAGAATTTAGGGTCCACTGGTAAATTACCCGAATGGAGAGGGGACGGTTCCACAGATTTGGACAGTGTCCCATATTTTTGGTTTTCTTCACTATTATGTTGTGAAAACATCAAGAATCAGAACGGAGTGACTAGATGAAAGCGAAGATCTAAATTAATCCGAACAAAATCCATGAGAGAACTTCTTTTCTCATTATGCATAGGTAAAGACCAGACAGAGCATCTGCTTCGTAGAACGGCTACCATATCTATCTGCTCCAGCCAGGGATGAAGAACCCATGAGCAATCTGTGCGGAAACCCATGAGCAGACTGTTTCTTCCCTCCATTCTCAGTTACTGCTGTAGAAGTGACTATGAGGACACTGGCCACCGTGGAAACAGACACACTCATGGAGGACAAAAATGCGATATTTTCCAGGAAAGTGCCAAATCTTCTTAGGCCGATGTCATAGTTTGCGAATCGAGCGATTCGCTAGCGAATCGCTGGATCCGAGCGTTGCGCCAGCGAATCGAACGTTGCACCAGCGAGTCGAACTAGGTACCAGCGACTCAATAGTGGCGGGACCCAACGTTCAAAGGAAGCCCGCCACTTTCAAACAGTGTCACGTGACAGTGGACGCTGTTTGAAAGTGGCGGGACTTGACAGTGGACACTGTTTGAAAGTGGCGGGCTTCCTTTGAACGTTGGGTCCCGCCACTATTGAGTCGCTGGTACCTAGTTCGACTCGCTGGTGCAACGTTCGATTCGCTGGCGCAACGCTCGGATCCAGCGATTCGCTAGCGAATCGCTCGATTCGCAAACTATGACATCGGCCTATCACTGAAAATGGCGCCTGGCAGAAATGAAAACTAAAATAATCAATGAAGTACATAACAGAGAATTTCTAACAAGGAATTCGTAGGAAAACACTTGGACTGTGTACAACTGCGCATAAAAACTTAAAGGCATAGGATGATGGGCAGCAGATTGAGGGAGGTGAAGATGGAATAAATCTTCATTTTTGTCTCCTATTCGACAGTTGATGGAAATCGTCAAGCTTTCGACAAACAATTTGGTTGAGGAATATTGTTAGATACTCTCAAACTACGTGAAATTTGGGTGAGCCGTAATGAAATGTTTAGGGAAGGCTCAATCACAGCATATCGAGAAGAAAATGTCTTTGTGCAAAGTAGGAAAGGTTGACGCTCAGTCTCGGGATCCATAATCCTTCTTGCTCATCTTCATTGTACTCTTCACATTACCTGCACCGCACATCACCGAAAGTACCATGAAAATAGGCATTTTAGGAGAAATTCCATTACCAGTGACTTTTGCAAGTTGCTTATTTATTTGTTTATTTATCTATCCATTGGTTACGCTCAAAAGCACAACAAACCGGTGAGATGTCACCAGACAAGCAAGGCCAAGCTGAGGAGAAAAATTAGAAGAAGAAAGCAAGATTCCATCTCGTAGCATTATAACCAATTTTGTTCTGTCCATATCATCTATAACTGGTTAAGAGTTGGGAGACGCGATATTGAAGAAATGACACGAGAACGGTCCAAGAAAAAATGGAAGCAGCAAAGGAAGAATGGGTGAGCACGAAAAGCAGTCAGGAACACGATTTATAGATGTCAGCCAGCATGAAAACAAACTGCCATCACAACGAAGAGATTTTGTCAACAGAATCATCTGTTACTGCTCTATATGTATACTAGTGAAAGCAAGTAGTCAAAACAAGAAATGAATCGCTTTATCGTGAAGGATCGCGGTAACGTGAAAACACTTGCGGCGTTCAAAATCTGATCTGTTTCAACTTGAGCTGGTCCCCGAGGGTTGGATTCGCCTAGGACCAAAGGGAAGAAGGAATACGGGACAAGAAAGTCTCAGGAGAGGATTCAATATCCCTCACTATAGCTGGGTGGAGACCAGAATGCAAATGTTGAAGGTCTGAAGCGACCCTCTCGTGCATGCATGCGCTATGGAACTTTGTGAAGTTAAGTCTTTTGCGGAAAGAATGAGTACTCCGCCTACCCCAACAACCTTTCTCCCGAGGGACTTGTTCGGCCCCAAAAAGGATCAAAGGTCGCTTAGAATCGGACCGCTGTATGTTGTAGTAGCCCGTCAACTCACAACTACATTATTCATAACGCCTACTGTTTTAAACTGCAGTTTAGTGGGCTATCTAACCAGTTTAACTAATAGAAACCATGAACCGAATACCTGTCACTTTTAGTGTCCTCGAATCGACTGTCAGGTTCCGTGTAGAACACCGGTCTGCTTTCTTTGTGCCTAAAGTAGATGCAATAACTCACAATTGATTTTGACTTCTTTTTGATTGTTAACAGCTATTTTTGGCCGCAGTTGGGACCATGGGAAAGCTTCACAAGAACGCTGGGTTGTGTCCGGGTCACCATTTCATCCCAAGTTCAGTTGGTATGGAATTGCGACCCGATAGCGCAGCTTGTAACGCACTTGCCTGGTAAACAAGTGGTGCGAGTTCAAGTCCCGTGTGGGACGTGAGTTTTGATCACAACTCAGCGTTCTTCTTAAGCAATATGTCCACATTTTCTTTCAGAACCAAGATTTAAAGAACTGCATACGACTGACAATGAGCACAGACGATAGTGCCAACTTACTCGGGAGGAGCAGTCGCTGCCGCGGCGTACGGCATATCCGCGTTCTCTCAGCGAGATAGCGTGAACATGCACGTTCCAGCTTTTCACACATGTCAAGTGATTCACCCCACAGCCCACCACACTGAGCTGCCTAGATCATTGGTTCTGGTTCACGTATTCCTCGTTTTCCACTAAAGGGTGACATGCCGTGCACTATGGCGCCAGCTGCCCCCCTCCCACCCAACTAGGTGAGCACCCATATGATAAACCCGACCAAATCATTTGAGACCAGATTTATTTAACATTTCTACTCTTTAGTAGATAAGTGCAATCTGCACAGTAGAAACTACATTATATTATGGCAGCTTCGCAACGCGACCGCACGCGACCAACTTCTGCCACAGAGAAAAGTGAAGCGCGACATTTGCTGTTTTTGAATTTGGCCGTTCGCTTGAGCAAAATTGGTTGATTTGCTAGGTCGATACCTTTTATCCTCTCGAGCACGTGAACTTTGAGAGCTTCGTTTATCGCCAAGTTTTGACTTTCCAGTCTCGTCTGGTTCAACCATGGTTTTCGGCCTGAAAATCGATGCTCATCAAATTCAATGATTTACGTTCCAGCAAATCAGTCAGGTACCTTTGTCGGGAAGGTTCCGTCCGATTTGGTTCCGTTACTCTTGGCATCGTTGACTGTTGCTGCGGTAGCGCACCGTTTCCCTGCTGACGACATTTGTCCTAAAAACAAATTAAAAATCAGAGCTGGAAGTTTGACAAAGATCATTCATAAGAATGGCGCTAGGCGAAAATTTGAGCTATTTAGCGTGGATGCTTGTTCCTTACGCATTTGAAGGGCGAACAGTGTGACCAGAGCTCACTATTGGTGGAGTGAATGCGCACCCCAATCAGATGCGCCTTTCACGCATTGGCCGATGTCAGACTTTGCGATTGGAGCGATTTTGCACCAATTGCAGGAGCGACGGATCGCTTGAGCGATGCGAGCGACGGGAGATTTACCCGAGCGGCGCCGTGTGTATCGGTATTCGGCGGGTAAATCTCCCGTCGCTCGCATCGCTCGCATCGCTCAAGCGATCCGTCGCTCCTGCAATTGGTGCAAAATCGCTCCAATCGCAAAGTCTGACATCGGCCATTGCATGCTTCCCCTTCTTTGTTCTATCTGTGGAATGACAGTACTAGGAACAATATTTGAATGTTTAAGGAAGCAAAAAATCTGGAACTTAAGCGCTGGTAGTTCCTTTGTATCGCACGCACGCAGCACTTTCGCGGAAGGAGATAAAAGAAAGTTTCAAGGTTTATTTGTTTTATGAGCTTGGACTACCCAAGAAAGGATGTAGTTGAACCAGTGTTTACCTGGTACTCGTGTTTATAAAGATAAAAGGCGAATTAAATGAAAAACAAACAAATTCACAGGGTTCGGGGCATTCCCGGAATTCACCTGAGCCAGGGCAGACTTCCATGTGCAGCACTCCCTGGGGGCAAGGGGCTAATATACCCGTATACAACACTTCCGGGCTGAAGTTCTTGGGGATGTTGCATTCAGAAGATGCTGGTCAGTGGTTGCAAATGGTAGCGGTTCGCAGATTTTGTTAGTAGTCGTCTAGGCCTACTGTACCATTATAGCGTCAAATTAGGTAATGGCAAGAAGCGTCCAACGTTCGTTTTGCAGCGCGACTCAGATTTTGATAATCTGCCCCTTTTTTGTTTACGATTCAGGAATATTAGAGACAAATCAAGAGGGGAAGAGAAAAAAATTGAATAGAAGAGTAGAAAAGAAAAAAAAACTCTTTAGCATGGTTTCGTGAACCTTAAAGGAATCTTCCACGGACCATGGACCAGTGGGCGGGACCGGAAGTGGTTTTGCGACGAAATGCATGGTAGGTACGGATCCACGTTCATGGGAAGGTTTGAAGTGAATCCTGTTCACGTTCGTGCGTTCGACACGTGGATCCGTACCTACCATGCATTTCGTCACAAAAACTTCCGGTCCCGCCCACTGGTCCATGGTCCGTGGAAGATTCCTTTAATATATCGTAGTTCAACCCGGAACATAGGTTAATCCTTGACCTGTTGAATCTATTGTGCTACGGTACCTTATGCAGGATGAGGTGGGTGCTTTCAACATTTCTCCTCCATCCCTCCCTATACACCAAAACGTCTCCAGTTTTCTGCCTTAATTTTTTTTACGTAAATCTAAAGACTATCGTGATTCCCATATATAACTAAACAATTTAGTTAGTGCCGTAGAAACCTATCATTAGCGAAGCCAGCTATATTAGAAATTAGCGATTAATGGAAAAAATGAAAAGAAGGCTCATACATCGGTGAGGCTTGGCTGCCGCTGCAACGTGTTTTGCCTTCGTACTTCCCCGAACCTTTCCTGTTGTCTCTCCGACGATGGGCCGTTCACGCCAGAGCGAGGAGCTTCTTGAACTGAAAAGGGAAAGATTTGAGCAATCTGAATTAATCATGACAAAAATAATAAAGGTAGATGGCAAGATAAATTGCCGTCAGGTGGGCATGAAAAGAAGCTGCTGAGAGAAACAGCAGTAGGAAAGAAAACTAAGGAAACAGCCTAGAATTGGGGGAGCGAATTTTCCCCGTTTATTTACGCGATCAGCAAGTGTCATAAGTGCTGGTGTTATCAGAGTAAAGGCTTTACTGCGCCTCTCTGCTAAAACTGCTGAAAACTGACAGCGAAGGACCAGGTAGGATAGCTATTCGATGGGCGCATACCAGTCACGAGAATTTCCGGGTAGGGAGGGCACTGAAAGGCTGCTACGGGTGCACACTTCACAGCAGGACGCGTATTATCCAGCTCCTTCAGAGGGTTTGCCTCCCTTCATAGAACTCATATTTTCCCTTCTTTGATCCCACATTCTTCGAACGCTCATGCACGTATAAGAAAAATATCGTGTCTTTGAAAAAAAAATCCCAGAAGAGCAAACCGAAACCCGGTTCAAATTAACCTAAAATAATGCATCATTCTAGGATAGCTGGAGGTGGTGAGATTTGTCTGCATTATATCAGAATGAGATGCGATTTTTAACGCACCAGCGTCCCGCAGCGCAACCGCGCGCGTCTTACTAAGAGTTCGCACACCGTTCCGAAAACTATAGATCTAAATGTCTTCATGTGCGTGCCGACTTTGACTAGTTATTTTGTTATGGTTTTCTCCCATGAAGTACAATTATCAAAATAAATTTAAGAACCGTCTCAGCACACTCTCGTTTATAAAGTTGAAGGCCGAGAAGAGTTAAGCAATGAAAACTGCAACTTCCGTGATAATTTCTGAGAAAGCTAACCTGGTTTTGGAGTAGGCTGCGATGAGCTTGCCGTGCTCTGCTGTTGAGGAGGCAACGGTTGCTGAGATGGTGCCACCTGGAAAGAATCTTGATTCCGATCGATTCATCTCGGAACGTACACTGATGTGTAAAACTTAGGGACGAAATACAACTTCTGGATAGCTCTGTGGAACGTTCAAAGGTTCCTGTTGATTGCTTTCTGAACTG